GTCTATCTATCTATCTATCTATCTATCTATCTATCTATCTATCTATCTATCTATCTTATTACCAGTGTTCCTATGGAGTAAAGATGTTGGGTTTTTTGGGGTGGTTGCTTGTACAAAAGAAACACCGGAGGGGGGGTACACCTCCTCGTTATTTATTTATTTATTAGAAAGTCATTGTGAGACTTCATGCATCAGGGAAGCCCAGAGGGTCGATAATCAGACTCAGATGTCCCAGTCCTCCCTAAGAAGCTGTTAACGGTGTCTCAGGGTGTCATTTCCTCTTCAGTCCCGGCCCACTCCTGTGGCCATCGGCAAGGTTTGCAATCTCAATCCGAAAGGGGTCAGTGGAAACTGGGCCACCTGTGCCAGTATGTCAGTGGATATTCATCTCAGCGATGGTGCCCACCAACCACCAAAGGTAGGGTCGAACCTTCCCCCCCCCGGATCCCCCTCTCTTCTCCCTCCACTCACCTCCGAGGTGTCACAGAGAGCAGCCTTGTCCAAGGCCTGTTCTCCTTTCCACCGGGACCCCTCGAAAAATCCCAGATATCCCTGCAATTTCCGGTGCCATGTTTATTTGGTGGTAGGAGTAGTCGGAGGAGGCGGCGGGGTGGGGGGTGTGGGGGGGGGGCGTGCGCAGAAAAAAGGGCCTTACTCACAAACAGCTCGGACGGCGTTCAAGAGTAAACATATGCAGGAGGGGGTATGTGCGGCAAAAGGGGGTGAAAAAGACTGAGGCTCATGTGTTCTGGGCCTGACACACAGATCCCAACTCAGCAGGGACACAGAGCAGGGCTCTGTTCGGGCCCCAACGGCCACGGTGGGACACACACCCCTCTTCCTGCCACCGCTCAGCGGCCTGCGCCCTCTGCTGGCCAGAGTAGGTAACGACACACACACAAACACACACACAAAGAAAACAGTTGAAACAGATCAAACTTTCACATCAAAAAGTAGAAAAATACATAGTTATTTCCATCCAACTTTATTTGTAGATAATCTACTACAGTTTTTTTTAAATACAATCATTCAAACCTGATTGTTTACTTACTGATGTGGTTTGAAAAACCAATCTTAGAAGGCCTCACGTGCATAAATACTGATGTGGGAACAATCGTGTGAGAAAATATCACAATGCCTAGTGGTCAGACTATCTCTGGTGGCCTGACACCACCTCATTTCCCCTTCAGTGAGAGCTGCTGATCCAGTGGTACCAGCAGAGCCCGGACAGGGGCGTCCGGGCAGAAACGACGACGGGGAGGGGGGGTGTTTTCCGGAATCAGGAGGGGCACGTGCAGGAGGGAGTCCGTCTGTGCGATGGGAGGCAGAAAATGGGGCCGTCTGTCTCTCCTGCTGCCCGCCGCCCCGTCTGGCTCCCCGTGGCTGCACCTGGATGAGAACGGCCGATACTGGTCGATGGGGCGGTTGGGTTTCTTTGTGTCACCATGTGCAACCCCCAGACCCTGTAACCACTCGTCGTTACCCCTCTGCATCAGCGATGGCACCACGTATTTTTGCTTCCCCGCACAGTCCGCCTTGTATCTCTTTTTTCTCCCCCTTGGCTGCAGCTTTTCTTTGATCACAACATCCTCTGATGTCTGAAACTGAGTCACCGCTCTGGTCTCCCCTCCCATGTTTACACCAATAGTAGTCGCAGATGCACGAAGGCAAGAATGCAAGTCTCTGTCTTGCTGGTTAGTTTGCGTTTGGGGGCGTTTGGAGATCAGAGGCCACGCATCTGTGAAAACACCTGATCTAAGCCAGGCCTTTGCGTGCAGATGCCCCGTGCCGTCCGGCGAAAGTGTGTCAGCAGGTTCAGATGAATGAATCTCTGTGTGCCTGCGGTCTCCAGTCTGCAGGTCTGTAAAAGTATCCGTGCCCAGGGCTTCACCCTGGAGCGTTCCTGCAGGAAGCACGCCTCTGGACCTGCAGAATACGTAGCGGAGTCGTCGGTGTGGGGGGAGACCGGTCAAGAGCCCGGGAGGTCCTATGCTCCGAAACAACGGTGGAGGTCTGAGAGTGGAGCGGGGTCTCGAAGGTCCAGCTGTCTCACCAGTGTTGTCGTCCATTTATAACAACTGTCCTAGGTGAAGATCAGCAAGCTGAAAAATGTTTTTCTTTTAAAGAAAAATGCAAGAAGAGCTCTTTTGGTAAGACAGAAAAAACTAATTCAATTAACTTATGTAGCTTTGTTATGCAATAAAAGGAGTCCAACTCCTCATCCTTGTGCACTCTTTGGGTTTTTAAAATAAATAATCTTGCATCTACACTCGTCAAATCATCTACTCACAGACGTGGTTCCCCATTCCGTGTTTGAATAATCCTCCCATGTGGAATATTTCCCAATTCTCTGTGTCTCTTTCTCTGGTGTCGTCTTTAGTGTGAGCCTGAGTGCTTTTTCTTTGTGTTCTTTTTTTTTCTTGTCCATGGATGACACCCATACAACACCATCAGACCTTACCACCCTTTTTCACTTTCATCCCCCAACCCCTCTGGACATGAAAGACACAGTTATTCTATCCCAGAGTGATGGCGCAATGAATTTGTAGTGCACAGAACACAAGATGGGACTGGTTGTTGGTGAACGCATCATGTGCCTGAATTTTATTTCATTTCCCCCACAGATAAAAACTAACAAAAAGAGGCAATGTAAGATTTCACCTGGAATATTTTCGTCTCACAGGAACACATATGAAAAAGTTGGATATGTTGTTATTAATCGCAACGATAAATTAGCTTATAGAAATATTTATTATCAGATTATCAAAAATAAGATTTAAATATATATTACTATATTAAACTATATTACTTTTAACTATATTGCAAACATATATTACCATATTTCAAAATGGTGTTATATGAAATGTATCCTATAGTTTTACTGCATCTGTGCATAAGTTGCTGGGTTGGGATATTCCTGAGGTGGATAAATAATAGTTTAAAACAATCAGAAAACCTAATAGCTTTTGAATAACCACCATATCTTAAAATAACTCTCTCTGGAGCTTGATTAGTATTTTTTTCCTATCGTCACTCTCAGTGAACTTCCGCTTTCGGCCAGGCGGTGGCGCCACTCACTGAGCTGCGGCCAGTGGAGGCGATTTAAAAAGGCACCACGGTCCCTTTTTCATCTACGGCACCGAAACGGAAGCACTTCATTGGTCCGCGAGGCCAAGTTCAACGAGAATTAAACAAGCAGGGTAAGCGCTGGAAAATGTTTAGCGTCGTCTCTTTTAACCCGTCCCTGTACGCGACACGAGAATGTGCGGGCCGAATGTTAGCTTTGGGCTAGGGTGTTCGTGCGCGTCACAGTAAGAGGAAACGGCAATGGGTAAGGTTAAGGGGAGGAGGAGGAGGACGAAGAGGGCAAAGTCATACGTAACGTAGATTAATGGAGGCGGCGAGGAGCCGGTAGATAGGTGGTAAACACGAGACGAGCGTAAGGAAACACGACGGAGTGAGGTCGCGTACAAGCGTATTTGACGTTACTAATAAAAATTGGCGTTGCTAAGAGAGGGACGTTGTTAAAGTTGAACCGCAGAGGAATCCTTGAACGTGCGCGCGCGCGTGTTACAAAACCAGAGCAACATGGCTGAGACGAACCTGCTAATGAAGTTTAAAGCAGTTGTTAACTCGACTTGTCACACGAGGGTTAAGAGTCTGTTTGGCTTCTGAGAAACAAAAGTGCTCGGGCTTTCTTTTTACTATTTTCTTTTTATAACCAACTTCACATGCCAAGATAAAGGCTGAGACACTAGCAAATTAATGTTGCTATATTTTGTAATGTACATAGAAGTGTTTTGACTTTTAGAAGATTGAATTCATTCTAATATTACTATTGTAAAAAAGAAAAAATGGTCGGGTTTTTCTGTAATTCTTTTGCTGATTTATCGCCTATTTTTTTCTAATGGCTGGGATGGAGTTGTTACTGCAACATGTCCTAAAGCAGGGATTAGAAAATGGATTGGAAGATTAACTAATAGAGAATGAAATGGGGAGAACATTGTCAAAAGTGTTCACCATTTCCAATTGAACTTTTTTTTAAAGTTAATAGCTAAAATGACAGTGTGGAGAATTGAAGAGGTAAAGAGCCCATATCGTGTTTGTCTACTGATTCAGGTTTTGATTTGGTTTCTTTTGTTTTCAGAACAGTTTTACTCACCTTTTTTCTGACAGTTGAAATTTTGCAACATTTTTTTTTTTAACGTCCTTTGAAACATGCTCTGTTCTCTGTTTTCGGTCCATCCTTTCCAAAAGAAAAAGTGTGCTCTGATTGGGTCAATAATAATAATAGTAATAATATTTTCATCGTATCAGCAATCATGATCCACAAATTGTGGAACACAATTAGTTATGTAGGTTTTAAAGTGGAGCTGGGATTCTTCTGGCTGGATGTCAGAGGAGATTTGATTTCAAAGCTTGTTTTGTGGTCACCACTGCTTCTACTTCACACTCTGAAGGGGAACCTTGTAAAAGGTTGTTTGCTCTGCCGCACACCCATCAATCAACGGGTCACCCACCCTCTCCTGCCTACCCAGAACTGCTGTAAACATGCCCGATTGCATAAGTGTCCTCTTACTGGAAAGGGAGAGCACCATGAAGTCCCTTGCCGTTTAACCTTTCTGAAATGGGAAATCTCTGTAAAAATACATTTGATTGTTTATTATCTGATTTTTCTGTGTGTGTTTTGTTTGTCCAGATGGCTCACCGGCTGTTGGTTCGTCGAATCTGGACCTTCTCCGCGAAAGATATCCGCCGCCTCCCGTCATCGGCCGTCACCGTCGCCTCCTCCTCTTCTTATTCCACCTCCCTGCAGTCTGCCCCCAGCCGGGTCTCCTTCCTCTCCCCGTCGCGCACTCTTCCTCACCCCCCCCGTCGAGAAGCCTCCTTCAATGTTCAGGACAGCGACGACTTCACAGAGCGGGTCATCAACAGCGAGCTGCCCGTGTTAGTCGACTTCCATGCACAGTGAGTACCTCAGAGAAATGTGCACTCGGGTCTAAAAGCTGCTCATAGGACTCAGTCTAACCTGTGAAGTCATATTGGGGCTATTTAGGCAGCTATATGGGGCTAACCCATAATCTCATCTCAATACCTTGTACATTATTTGATATTTGGCCTTAGTTACAGGCCTTTGGGTGCCATATTCTTAGGGTATACTAAAATAACCCCACACAAGAGCTCCCATCTCCCAAAGCAATAAGTCAAGACGTATTTTAACCTTACACTGCTGAGACTTTTTTTCCGTGGCCCACTTTTATATCACAATTTGATATCTTTCCATGACTGATAAGAATTAAGAGTTGTTGTGTTGGTTCAGTGGACCATATATACATACATGTGTGTGTATATATATATATATATTGGTGATTTGGTTAAATCGAAAATATGATACCTAAAATAGGTTTCTGCTCACAGTCATGTTGTTTTTGTCGGTTCATTTAGTAAAATCGAATTGCTAAACTGGTCTGCCCACAATCCAGACTTATCGCTCATCTCAAACTTTCAGAGCATCAGGAAACGATAAATACATGAAAGCACTTACTAAACTTACTAAATGCCTTCTCTTTGAAGAAGGGAAGGCATATAGTAAGTTTAGTTAGATGTTTGGTTACATGTAACATTTTTTTTAGAAACAAGGTTCACCTCCTTGTAAGTTTCTTGGTCAGTCATTCCAAAAGCACACTCCCAAAATAGATACATGGGTAAATAGGTTTTTAACCTAACCAGATAATCTGGATAAGTGTTAAATCCCCTTTATTAGAACAAAGAAGCAGTGATATTAAGAGATTCTATTTTTTTTTGAGGATGGATGTGCCACTTCCTTTTGGAGCATGAGCACTCTGACCCTGCGGGGGGGTTGTGTCCAGGTGGTGCGGCCCCTGTAAGATCCTCGGGCCGAGGTTGGAGAAGGCGGTAGCCAAACAGAAAGGCCGCGTCGCCATGGCCAAAGTTGACATCGACGATCACACAGACCTGGCCATCGAATACGGGGTAAGACCTGCTCGGTGTTGTTTGCTTTTTGTCGTTTCTCCTCCTGAACTGGGCTGAAATCTGAATTCCTGGGCCTCGGCTTTAAGCGGCTCCCGTTGTCTCCAGGTGTCGGCCGTCCCCACCGTCATCGCCATACGGGGGGGCGACGTCGTCGACCATTTCGTGGGGATCAAAGACGATGATGAGCTGGACTCATTTGTCAGCAAAGTCATTGGACAGTAAAAGCCTGTCCCCGCCCCCGCCGCGCACCGGCGTCATGGCGCTGCTGTCTGCCATCGTTCAGCAGCCACCATTTCGAGCCCGTTAGGCAACCACCACCCTGTGAAGTCCCCCGCCACATCCCATCTGGCAGATTCTCAAGTGCACACACCCATCCCCAGACACGCCGCTCCAGCTGTGCGTTGTCGCTTCAATCTTTCTCATCTCGCTTTTGTCTAGTGGTGGGTGTGTGCCTCCATTAACCTTTTTAGTTCATGGCGTCTCTTCATTGTCACAGCGGTTCCCGTTTTATCTTCAAAAATGTGACGGCTCTTTGAATCTACTCACTCTCACAGAGATGGTGTGCAAGGGTTTACTGTAAAATCCTGTAGAAAGGTAAATAAACATGCTGTACAACATGAGGGAAGGACGTTTGTAGTTTTAGCTGTGGAGATCGGATTTAAAACACGACCATATTGAATGAGGTAAGAGTTACACGTAATTCCTGCTTTTGTCCACACGAGGGTGGCACAGGTCTAACATCGCTGAGCCACAGTTAGTCAATTTTACACCGTTATGCCTATTTTTGTGAGTGTGTGCTGATGTGTGTGTGTGTGTGAGTGCATGTTTATGCTTCTCTGGGTCCTAACTGTGAAACTGAAGTCAAATGGGAATTGCAAACAAGAGTTTGATTTTAAGTATATTACTGAAAAGAACTCTGTGTACCAGAAACATGACCAAGTGAAGTAATAAAGGAGTCGATATGATCTATGCATGAGTGTTTTTTTCCTGTGTTTTTTGGAAAGTGAAATCGGAGCCCCATTGCACTTGGAGACATCGATGTGATGACTGAGTCGAGCTGTTTCGAATGACTTCAGAAGATTAACAGGTACTCCTTTGCAGGTTAAGATTGGCGACCTAACATTGTCTAAAGAAAGAACAAATTTTTTCTTCTTACAGAGTAACCCTGCAAAAAAACCCTTTTTATATGTTAAGAAATTGAATCTCCTCCTACTAGTTTTCAGTGATGTCTGTGTTAAAAAGAAAAGGAAGAAAAAACCAACAAAAAATTTAGAATTTGAAGGCAATGACCAAAACTAAATCAGCAGCCTCCTATATGGCAACAATTTCATATGTCAGTATGTTGATCTCAAACGTTTTGATGCAACATTTACTGCTGGTTAACCAGCAAAAAGATTTCCTCTGAATACCTCAAGAATGCTTTATTTATGCAGGTGTTGATGCTCAGTGGAGCAGCGCACCGCCTCTCCAGAGCCTGCTAAATCTTTCAGGACGGTCTTTTGCAGTCAAATGGAAGATTTAACGTGCCTTTTCTAAAGCCTGCGAGGAGTTTTCTCGGAAAGTCTTTGCCTGCCAGACCTCATGTTAACTGCTATTTCTTAATTAGGTCAGCAACTCCTGGAATGTCCCGTTTTTAAAAAGTTCCTTACTGTGTTCTTTTACCCCTTTCACACATATTGGTGTCCACAAACCTTTCCATTCCGAACATTTTCCTAACAGATCTGACGAATTTTAGATGGGCTTTTACATGTCAGTAGACTAGGTAAATGCTACTCATCTGTCATAACCCCTTTGTCACGGTAACCAAAGTGCCTACACGTCACCCTCCACTTTTTTGCCTCCTTATAAATTACCTCTCTATCATCCCCTCAAACTGCTGTGTCTACCTTTTTGTCAGACTACAATTACGTCTCCTATCTAACACCTGACTCACCTATCGAGTCATCATTCCTTCTTCAGATTAAGTTGGTGTGATGATATCCTGCCAGTCCAACAGACTCTTGACACACTAGGAAGAACTACCCCAGTTCTGCCTCTCGTATTCGGCAAAACCTGCAACACAACGGGGCGCAAAACCCAAGTTTTTTCACCCTCACTGGAATATATGTGGGATTTTAGCCAATGTCTGTTTGAAAGTTGCCATGGTACTAGGTTGTAAAAAGGAAACTGTAAATTCTTATGTTATCAGAGAACGTGGTAACTAATTAGACAAGCTGGGAGTTTTGATATGACCCTCGAACAAGTTTAAAATAGAGGAAGTGCTCTGTGTAAGATATACATGCCTTGGATGGCCTAACAATGTCTGCTTTTACAATGGGATTTCCAAAAAAGTTCAGACGCAGTACAATTTAAAAAGAAAAACAATCATTTTAAACATTCTATTTGTAATGGAACTTCAAACATATCATAGTACAGAATTTAATGGTAGAAAAAGAAATAGCTGGAAGGGCCTGTTATAACTTGTAATGGTAAATAAAAACAGGTTAGCAATATGACTAGCTTTGAAAAGAGCACCTAATAGAAGCAGAGTCTCACTGATGTTCAGGAATTCGCAAATCAGTAAATTGAGGAACCATTTCAGTAGATCTGAGGACACCTTTGCATCCAAAAGACATAGTTAGACATGGTCTTCATACCTCCAGTGCCACTGAATCTCATGACACGATTTTTTTAATGGAAATCAGTGCCTGGGAACCAGAAACACCTACAGAAAATCATGTGAACAATGTGAACAAAGTCCAACAAGAAGAGGTAGAAGGCCAAACGGCCATACAAGACGTCACACCTGAAAGGAGGAGCTAGAAAAATTCAGTTGAAAAACCATCATTCCCTATGATATCGGGCATGGGGGTGGCTATTTTTTCCTTCTGGAAAGGCACCATCTATGCTGAGCTTCTAGGCCTGACACTTATGACACTGTCCTGTATATTTTTTTCCCTCTGATGTGTCACTTTAATCAAATCTAACATTGTCACGATATAGTCAAATATCCTTGTCTCTACTCTAATCATGTATTTATCTAATCATATATTTGTACTTATTGTGCTTTAAATCATTGCGAAATCTGCTAACTATTGCGTTTATTGTTGTAATTCACACTTGACACAACACCCGAAACCCATTTGGAGATAGAAATGTGGCAGGAAAAGAGGAATGAGGTCATGTGAGGCTGCAGCACAGAGGGGGATCACCTGCTTCCAGTCATAACTTTATCATCGTCTCGTCTCTCTCATGCCTTTCGAACAAAAAAAACATTCCCGCCCCTGCCCGCCTTTCTTTCCGGGCTTGTCATTACAGATCCCGCAGCTGACAGAATCATGGCGAGGGCCCGCAGACTGCTTATTAAGGGGTCGCTGATTGCCATGTTGCGTCTGAACTTCTTCGCGATTGCGGCCTGGATTAGATCATTGCAAATTCAGCCCTGAGGACGCATTCAGGCAAGGCAGAGTGAGGGGGGAATTCCACCGGCATTACGTAAGCAGGTGCGACTGAAAGCCAGTGGCCGGGATTTACAAAAGATGGTGTGAGCTGGATGAAAGGCATTCCTACATAGTTTTGAGATGTCTGGAAGCCGACACCTCCCTTTGTAAATCATGGGCCTTAAGGAGAACTTTCTTTTTTTCTCTAGGCCGTTCCATTAGTGGATACTGGTCTCCATGCTTCCCTGTAATCCCGCCACCCTCCCAAACCAACCAACGAAAACCAACCAGCCTCCCCCGTGTGGCTCACTCATCACAACTGTCTGCTTTCACACGGAGGAAAGAGGTGACTGAGGAGATGACGGCAGGCTCCAAAGGTTCAAAAGCAGCACGCAACCCTACACTCCTTCCGCCAAAAACAATAGACCACACCTCCACCCTCACTCTCGCCGTCTCACTCTCTCTTGCCCAACCACTCTTGTGACCATATAAGGCAAAAAAAAAGACAAGGGGGGAAAGCCAGCGGCCTGCCTGCTGCTGCTGCACACAGCTTCTGGGGAGCAAACTCTGCGAGAGGCAGAGTAGCCGGAATTCTTCTGGTTGAGTCGGCCTCACGTTTGCCCGCCTCTCCCCCAGAGCCGGTCAGTGTTTGCTTTGAGTTCGTCGGAGATGACATCGCCTGTCAAGAAAGCGGGGGGGGGGGCGAATGCTTGAGTTGTGTGTCGGGATTTGTACATGCTGTGGGAAAGAGAGCGGCTCTGTCGCAACACCCCCGGCCTCCCGGAGGGGGCCTGGGAGCGATCCCTGTTGACAGTAAATACATAGCCGTATTTGTGTTCCAAACACACCGCCGCCCTCCGGGCTCGTCGGGTCTCCCTCCTCTGCTCCAGACCGAAACACCGCGCCGGCGCAGACAAAGCGGTGGCTGTTGCCGTTTGTATCGCTCCCATCTTCTTCCCAAGCAAGGAACACATGAAGTGCCGCATTGATTCGGCCTGCTGTTGAGAGGTCAAAGCAGTGGTAATGGCAGATGAGCAGGCAAATGAACAAAAGGAGGGGGAGATTCGACATGTTTTCTCTTCTTGTCACATCCTACGGTTTTGTAAGCCAACATGTGTCTCGTAACTGTTTTCTGTGTGCTGATTACTGAGGAAAAGAAAAGAATAGAGAAACAAGACGGACTGAGGATAGAATAGTCACCCTGTCATTACTGCATTATCTTAAAAACAGGGGAAGATCCTAATTATGACTTGTGATTCGGGCCTTTCGGAAGACTCTGACCTGAATCAAGCTATGCGAAAAGCCCTTGGAGGAAATCTTTTTTTTTTTAATGTCAGGTAAAGAGCCTGTAGCTCCCAACATCTGGGTCAACCTATTTACTCCCAGATTTGACACAGATCTGAGCCCGGCCGTCCGCAGATTCAAAGGCAGGGGGGGGGCAGAGGCTCGAATTCACACCGAAACACCCGAACACAAATGCTCTCACACATGAATTCACACACGTAATTACGCAGTGAGGTCGGAGGGCGACCTGGCGAGCGGGCTGTCGCTGAACGAGTTCCTTTTTCTTGCTGAGTGGATGATATAATGGCGTCGCACGCCCTGAATTACAGACACACCCTGCCGCTATTGCGACCAACTGAAGGAGAAAAAGGGAGAGAGGGAGCTGGAGACATAGGCAGAAAAGGGAGGGAGACAGTGAGGTCAGAAGTGTCCATATTTGGTCATTCGTGCCTTGAGTTTTTAACCCAGCAGCGAGTCTCTCTCTGCCTGCTCCTGTTGATTTTATCACCTATTCCCACCCCCCTTGTTTTCGAGGCTCTGACAAGTTCTAGTTACTTTGCTAACTTGTTATGAATTCTTTCTGTTTTTTTCCTCTGCCCTTCTCCTCTTCTGGCATCTGGTCCTGCTTAGCTAATGGCTGACCTCTGACCTCCCAGCTGACATATTTTGGCTATTTCCCATCAATTCCCCGTGAGGCAGTGATTGTGTGAATTATTGATTTTTCCAGGCAGGATGGTCGATGTTTTGCTCTCCGTACATGTGATCTCCAGCTGCTAAACGTATAGCCAAACATTCCTCTGGTGTAGTAAAGATGTAGGACTTATTATGATGTGTGGCTCATGCGTGCCTCGACCTACACCATTTATCTTGGTGAAACCTTGTTATCCTCAGGGTTCAAAGCAGCATCGCCTGTTTGGAATTCTTGACTCTTATCAGATGCTGTTCACAAACTGAAACGGGGAAGTCACAACAGGAAAGAGGTCAAGCTTCTGTTTGTCTCATTCACTTCATCGCTTTAAATCACCAATTCCTACATTCTATAAAAAACAATCTGTCATCGAAAACCATGTAAAGTCATTCTAAAAAAGGAAGTTTACCTATTGCTTCTCCCAGCTCCTAGTCCTCATCAGATATTCCCATTCAGTCGTTACAACCTCGGATGAACAACACAGGACATATTTCACTGCCTCGTTCTTCTCTTTTTATGCAGCTCGTGGAGTTAGAACTCGACGTGATGTTTTGAGTTGAACCTTATCAGTCACTTTGACTCCGGATGAGTGCTGGACTTTGACTGAATCATTGCAACACCTCGATACTTTTTTCTTCCCTAGTCATTCGGTTTGTGATCAATGTCTTGTCTGAAAGCTTTAAGCTTTAAGCCATGGACTCAATGACTGCAAAAATGTCCAAGTCCTATGGCTTTAAATGAGCCCAAATGACCACCCCTCTGCCACTGTGCTTCGCAGTTAGTCCGAGGTGCTCGCGCTGGTAGGCTGTGTTTGGTTTTCTATAAACACGATGGTGTGCATTCTGACCAAACATCTCCACTTTGGTCTCGTCTGTCGAAAGAATAATGTTCCAGAAGTCCTGTGGTTTGCTCAGATGTGGCTCCACAAACCTAAGATGGGCTCTCTTTTTTTTTTCCGGAAAGAAAGTACATTTTTCTGCAACCATTCAACATAAGCCATACCTTTTCAGTCTTTGTCTAACTTTACTTTCATGAACAGGCTAACTGAAACCTGTTGAATCTGAAATTAAACTCTTGTTTTTTTTTTCCTTCTTCTTTTTTTTGGGGGGACATCTACTACAGGGAAGATTAACTGTCCCGGATGCTTTCCGCCCCCGTAAATGATCCTTCTCAACAGTCGAATGATTAACTCCAAATTCCTTAGAAAAAGCCCTCATAACCCTTTGCACCTGGATGAGCGGCAGCCTTTTCCTCCCAGGCATTGCACCAACTCCCACCTGAGCCGGTGCAGAGCAGAAAACTGCCAAAACTGCTGCTGCTTTTATAGGGCTGCTTATCCTGGATGATGGCAAATGAATGAGTGCGTTTAATGAGAAGCAACTGGATGCTACTTGCTTTTTTTTTTTTTTTATTCCAACACACAGCCTCTGAATTTTGGCTCAGTTCGATTAGATAATGAAATAACTACACAATGTATTATTTATTATTGTTCATCTTAGTTTGTGTGAACAAAACTGTAACTCCTGGTAAGGCCCAGGAGAAAATGGAAGCAGTTTGCTTTTCACGTGACTGCATGCGTTCAGCATCACCACAGTTTGGGAACTGTGCTCGCTGACAGGTTTCAGAAGTGTGTGCGAGCCTCATCAATGATTCCCAAACAGAATCACGCCTGTTCTTAATGCAGAAGCACTGTTTGAGTTACTCAGGACTTGCTGAATCTGTTCAGGATCTCATGCGAACTCAAATCTTTATTAGTTTTACACAAACATTTGTTTTAGACTCTTTAATCATTTTGTACATGTTGTTTTACTCTCGATCTCTCTAGACTGTGCAAAATACTTGTTGAGGCAGGAATATATTCCATCTCCTCATCTTAGAAATAGATTTTCTTGTTTAAAATAACACATTTACATTTGTTCTTTATTAGAAATGTAAACTTAAGGATTTGAGAACGATATTCTCTGCAGCCTTTTCAAATTGTTCTACAGACTGGGTTTTATTCAAATATTTTGATTTTGCTTAGTCATTTTGTCATTATTTTGGCTTTCACTTTCTTTTGGATATGCAACCCTGGTTTGTCCTTTTAGACCCAAACTGATGATCATTTCCATTTAAGTAACCCCATTTTCTTCCTCACTTGTTTGAACTGGGTCAGACTATTCTCAGGATGCAGCGTTGTCCTAATGCACTCAGCCTGAATGTGCTGTCACAGCCAGCCTCTTTCTGTATATGGCAAAAAAATGTATTATGTCTTGGAAAAAAAAGAAGCAGGAAACTATTTATTTTCGGAATTCTTTTAGCTGCCTCAAAATTTTTCACATACTGCAGGGAACTGCACAAACACAAGTCCCCCAGGATGGCAGTTAATCTGTCACTTTTGTTTTTTGGCTGCTGATCAACTGATCACAACAACGGATCGGGGTGTGGGGAGTTGTATTCCGTCTAAAGAAAACCTGCTGGTTGTGACATGTGCGTTGGCTCGGCGCCTCCACTCTGCAAACTGGGCTCGGATCAAGTCAGAATCCCACAGGAGTGTCTGAGGGAGACAGGTTCACTCTGTACTGTTCCATTCCTCAACGCAGACTTTGGCTGAGACACCGCAAAGCTTACGAGTCGACATCTAACTTTTGCGGCGTCCTCATTCCAAAAAATGCCAAACTATTTCTTTGATTCCTCATTCTTTCCCAAATCTCCGAAACTTTGATTTGAAATTCCCACATTTAAGCATGCGTTATCTCACATGATATAATGTTTTGATACATTTTTAAAAAGACAGTTCCTCCTTTGTTTGAAGGCAACTAATGACAAATGTCAAAAGTGATTTGAAGGCTGAACAGGTGCTTACCTTCATCATATTAATTCTACTATCCCCTGCAGTAGTTCCCATGCACAGTCAACATGTCTGGTCATGAATGCAGACTTACCTGTTTGTCTAATGAGAATAGATTACATAACTGCATTGCACATCCAGGGCAAGCAAGTATTATTTTAAGTATCAAGAATATTCACCTAGCATTAAGGGGGATAGATCTTACTCTGCATCGAGAAAATGCTGGTAAAAGCTCCTGTCAGTTTTATCAACAAATAATTAAGCAGAGGATTTCAACTCATCACCTCTTCCAGAAAAATTCAATTGTTCCTCATTTTAACAAAGATGACTCAATGACCCCTGGCCAGCCCAGATGAGCTACTTATTTGATTAGTCATTACTTCAGTGAGAAAAAAAGAGAGTGATTTATTCACTGACTTGATCAGTATTGACAGCTAAATAATGATGAGTTCAAGGCCCTCTTATTCCACACATTTAATTATAAGACACACTGACTCTCAATTTCTGTTGGCCTCTGACCTTTTCTCAGAAGCAATAAAGCAACTTTGCAGCATAAATGTAGAGCTACACTTTTACATAAACTAACAAATCCCATTTATTCAAGCAAACAATTAATTTGGATTCCAGTTAAATGACTGGCTTTAGCTTGAGGTTAAACAAGCATTCCTTAATCTTTGACCCTTTTTAGATTAAAGGTTCTGTCTCTACATAAACAAATCAGTTATATAAGTTGTGTATAAAATATCTTAGACGAACCACTGTGTAAAGGATTAGTTCGGTTTGGTTTTTTGGCAGCTTTACGGTGGAAATAGCATCAAACAGTTGGCGACATCACTGCTACTTGTTTTCAAAGCAGACAATGGTCGGACTAAGCCGTGCTGACACATGAACGGAGACCCTGGATAAGGCAGTCCATCCTGAAAGTGACTGGTACTTATATGGTCATAAAAATCCTTAGCATGCACATACCACGCTCATTAAACACAGCTTTATCGGTATACCCCTCTCCGCCCTCCTTCTCAACCCGTTTCAACTTAAGTTTTCTTGTGTGTGACGTCTTCTCTGTCCAGCACGCCTTTTCCTGAACGCGATTGGTCAAAAGTGTGGGGATTATATAAAACGGCCAGCCATTGGTCGAGAGGAGGGTTCATGAAGCAGAGAGCCCGCCTCTTCCCGGACCGCACCCCGTCTGGAGCGTCCGCGGGGCTACGTACCGAGTTAATTTACGCGAACCAGTAGGCAGCCAGAGCAAGAGGGAGGGCAGAGCGACGAACAGGAGAGCCGAAAAGGAGACACTGTGACAGAGAGAAGTGGAGAGAGAGAGAGAGAGGAAGCGAGCACTGTAGTTTTAGCCCGAACTCTCTGCAAAGCTGCTCTCGACAGGAAAAGAAGTTTGAGTAACCGCGACGCTGACTGAGCCACCCGGTTGTTGTTAGCCCATCTCCGAAAAGGCGCCCTGCCGACCAAAAAAGCAGGTAAACGCGAACACTTTAGCCACTTTTTTCACCGCGCGTGCTCGCTTATTGAAGTGATTACGCCTGCCGGTCACCGCGGCAAGTGCAGCGGACAAGGAAGCACGGTTGCTAGCGGTGTGCTTCAACTTCAGCAGCCGAGCGGGGTGGAGTGGAACCTCCGTCCCAGATTTGTCTAAATCCCTCTTAATTCAGACGGCCTTTGAATGCATCGGTGATTGCTAGAAATTAAATGCGCAGGTATGTGTTTAATACGGGACGGCAAAATTGCGCCTTAGTTTTGCAGCAGCTGGCGAAGAGGGGGCTATAAACCAGAGTGGCGGAGGCAGGAAGTGATTCGCTTGAATGAGTTGGTGGAAAGGCCGGGGAAGAGTTCGAACTGAGCCTTTTTCGAGCAACTCTAGGTTCGCTTGAATAACGGCTCGCTCGCGGGGACGTGGGTGGGTTCGGAGGTGAAGTTTTTCGTCGTGTGGCGGCCAGAGACGGGACGCCGTGTGTGGCCGTGAACGTGTCTGGCTGGCAGAATGACGTCACTGGTTTACCGGCGGACTTAATAAAAAATAAGTAAAAAA